GGAATTTCCCTATTTTACTGTTTAAATCATAGGTCCGCTCAGCTGACGAGTTGTTTTAATAACGGTTATAAATTATATTCAAGTCCTGGCCAGCGATCGTTACGCTTGGTTACATTGCAATTAAACATGTATATACTAAATATTAAGATACTATCGGTATATATATTTTCACCTAATATGTTTTCATTGAGTGTTTTCATAAAAAGTAAATTGCTGGAGAATATAATGTTCTCCCTGATCATATCGATAGCGCGTAGAAACAGCGGTATATGAACACACTCTTTTGTGTACAAAGCAAACGTGTAAATCAAAAGGATGGGGAAAAACGATGAAATAAAAACATTTCTCTATCAACTGAAATTATTGTCTGTAGACAGATAAAGATAAATGAATATTCGCCTGAGAACATGTGAAAATTATACCCAAATACAATGTAACGAAGGATTTTCGGTTTAATCCGAGTGCACAATAGCAATGTTGTGTACATGTATATGCAGAATACCGCTTTTTTATCCTTCGCCCATGTGTTTTCTCCTTAACGGAAAAAATTATCAGTACATTATATTATACCGAACGAGGTTGAAAAATGACGAACTTTATTTCTTAAAATTAACAGCAACTAGTGCTAATTGTAACGGGAACCGTTACAGATGTTCCCCAAACGGCTCCCCAATCCCTTATAATGCCCAATTCCCTACAAGCTTCAATAAATTAGACAATACTTTTGTAATATAAATGGATACTTTATTTTTAAGGGTATTTGATTGGAAAACTACTCCGATATAGCCATATGGGTATTAGCCAATCAAATTTCAGCGCATGTGCTTGCACATGTTTTCTACATTTTTCACATTAATTTTCTTATAGTGTCTCACAATACATACATTTGTGTTAAATATCAAAGAATTTCATTGAAAAATAAGAGAGATGTAACCCTTTAAGTATTAGCCAATCAGAAATCAGCATACGCGCATGCATGGCCTTGCATTCAATTTTGATAGTATCATATTGTATGAGCTCTATGTGCCTATCCATGTCGTAAATTTCATCCTGTTTTGTTGAACACCAAGGGAGTTATAGACATTTAAAGTTTCAACCAATCAGATTGCAGCACACCTGCATGCGCGTGTTTTCAAGAAATTTCCTATATAACATGTTGTAGCATCTTATAATATATACTTATATTCTAAATTTCAAAGTATTTTGTGAAAAAACAAGGAAATTATTGAGATTTTTGTATCAGCCAATCAGAGAAGAGCGCACGTGCATGCGCGTGAGTTCATGCTAATTTGACCATGTTATCTTGTCTAGACTACTAATATATCTTTATATTTTGAGTTTCAAAGCAATTCATCAAGAAATACAAAAGTTACGGCTTCATCAAGTATATCAGTCATTTCACTCATTGCAAGCGCGCGCACGTGCATGCATGTGCGCGCAAAATGACCTTCGTTCCGAACACCTACACAACATGCCTATTAACCCTAAAAAGGTTTCATGTCAATCGGATGAGTGGTTCTATGAGAACACTCCCGGACAAAAAAGTACCGGAGAAGAAAGTAGAAAAAAAGAATAATAATAATAATAATAAGAAACAGAGTAAAAACAATATGTTCCCAAACTTCGTTTGGGGAACATAATTATCAGACTTTTCTCATATCACTGTAAAAATGCCCTAAAAACTAAAACCGTCTGGTTTGACTTTGTCAACGCGTTTTAGATCGGGTTCGAGATTTTTATCAAATGTCTGGAGTATTTCGCTTATTCTGCAAGTCTTTATAATGAAAAAAAAAAAAAAAAAAAAAAAAAAAAAAAAAACACTGGCAAATTTAGAGGAGGTTCAGAGGGCCTGCCCCCTTTTTTGTATCCAAAATATACACAAGATTTAAAGTGACAGTAAGGCGCATCTCATTAAAAAATCTGACTTGATAAAATTTTCCGCCAAGATTTGGAATTTTTTTGCAACTTATAAATGTATAAACTTTCAGAAAATTACAACTTTCACAATGAAATAATTTTGATTATTTCATTAAAATTAATAATTATTTATGGAACGTAAATATATACATCGCAACGTGTTCGGGGTTCCACATTCCATGCTATGCACGCATGCGTAGTTTTCATAAACAAAACAGCATGGTAAGAGAAGGAAGCCCTAAGAGCCTGCTACATTGATAAAGTCGACCAAAAAGAAAAAGTAACTGAAAATAAAGCTTGAAAAAACAACTTTCCTGACTAAAATTTAGTTTGGGGATTAATATAATTGTTGGATGAGAAAGAAACGGGAACTCGGCGACACTCACGCAGGGCTCGCGAAGGTTCTACTCGACAGGTTTGTTGATAGTTGTTATCATTTCTCATTTTTCTATCGTTTTCAAAGAAAAAATTAGTGTAAACTCAACATAAAAATATACCTATGACTTATAAACATTGTTACCATTTGAAGTGCTAATTTTTTTAACTGTGCAGAAAAATGTTTTGTTTGACATTTGCCGCGATAACGTATGATTTGGTAGTTTTTCCTTTCCCGGACCCCAATACACAAAACGTTAACATTTGTACTTTTAATTCTGTTAAATACGGAACTTTCGAGTTACGGATCCGCTTCGAATATTATCGCTTAACAGACGTAATTGTAGGGCATAATTCACTTCCGCATTCCAACGTAACGTGTAAACAAAATGGAAGACTTCAATAGTTATCAAGTCCCAGCGTTAAAGTATTACTTAAGTACGAAAGGTATAACAACATCCATGTACAGAAAAGCTCATTTGATAAGACTGTGTGAATTGGCAAGAGAAATAGACCTAGAAGATATAGAAACAAAAGATGATTACGTGAATATGGATGTTCGTCGTAGAACTGTCGGAGACCGGATGTTACCAAGCATAAGCGAGGTACAGTTTTATTTTGGAAAAAAATCATAATAATCTCATATATATCTTATACAACAATAAGTAAATTGAATGAATATGAGTTTACTCAGAACTAAAGCTGTAGCAGGGAGAGAGAGAGAGAGCATCAACGTTACCAATTGTCACCACCATCAAATATATGAGATTTTATAATATCCAGAATTTTATTTGGAGTTTTACAACATTTTTCAGGTTAAATTATGTGACTGGAATGGAGATTTAAAGAAGGTACCAGACATAGACATTGCTGATGTTTTTGTATACTTAATTAATATTGGTTGGGATCAAAATCGCCTTCATTCCTACAAAGTAGACAAGGGTTATTTGTTGTATCAGAACAACCATGTTGACAGTGTTCGAATGTGTCCATTAGATTCGGATTATTCTTATGTCATGTGTAATACAACTCCAGAAACCCGTCAATCCGAGGATCCTTATAGGACATGGTTACTGGTGAAGACTGATGGCTATATCATATCAGGTGGCTGCTCCTGTGTTGCGTAAGTCCAGCTCTGTGCTTTATTATTTATGATATTCATAGTATTTATCATTTAATTAATGTCAATCCCAAAATTGGAGTAATTATTAACATGCTACTTTTTGTCTTTTTAGGGATGATGGTTCTTGCAAGCACTGCACGGCCCTTTCATTTGCTCTTGCAGCTTTTTGCGATCGCCATAAGGACAGGCATACAGAGGTGGGGACAGATGTGAGGTGTGTTTGGGACAAGCCCCGTAAGGAAAGTAAGCCTTGTCGTGTTAAGGAAATTTGTTTTTCCCACAGGACAGTTCCACTGATGCCAAACAAAGTGGATTACCAACCATGCCCTACACCCACCACTGAGGTTAACAGAGAAGTTGAGAAAGAACTGTATAGGATGTGTCACGGTACAGGTGCTCTTCTCTTACACACATTAGACCCACCCTCAAATGAGGATGAAGATCTTCATGAAAATCCGCCTGATATGATAGATGCTGTGACACACACAATTCAGAGTGGAGAGTCCTTGATAGATTATCTGAGAAATGTGTTTAATTCTGATATTATTCAAGAAGTTGAGCAAATCACTTGTGGTCAGAGTGAAAATGAATTGTGGTACAAATACAGATATGGTAGAATTACATCTTCCTTGTTTTCAAAAGTATGCCACTTTAGAGGGGGTAGTCATGATAATTACATCACACGTGAAATTCTGAATATTAACTCCAATGCCTTACACACTGATGCAATAAAGTATGGAAGACAGAATGAAATCGTAGCTAAACAATTGTTTTTTGACATGTATTCCCATTATCATGTAAATGCCAAAATGAGACCTTGTGGCTTAAACATATCTCAGCAACATCCATTTTTAGGTGCATCACCAGATGCATATTTGTCTTGCAAATGTTGTGGAAAAGGTTTAATTGAGGTTAAATGCTCTTACTCCCATAGAAATGACACACCATATGATGTAGCAAGTGACCGTCATTATCATTTGTATAGAGACACTAATGATGTTGTCAAGCTTAGGGTAGATTCACCGTGGTATGTGCAAATTCAAGGACAGCTTGGTATTTGTAATGCTAGATGGTGTGACTTTGTGTTTTATACAGACATGGGTTTTATAAGTGATAGAATTCATTATGATGAATCTTTCTTCAATGAAATTGTTAACAAGTGCAGCACCTTTTTCATAAATTATGTTCATCCTGCACTGCTTGCTAAAATTTAGAATGTAAATTCTCGACTGTACTTTGATGCCCTTTAGATTAAGCTGTATCATGTATGGTACACTGTATTGTTTTTCTTTTGTCTAATGGTTGAAAAATTATGACAACTGATAGCAATAAAAACCACACACTCATGATTTTATGTTGTTGACTTATATTTTAAATATAAAAAAAATGAAATGCAGTAATTAAATACTTTATGTATAATATGGAACATTGATAAATTAACAATATAATTAAATACTTTATGTATAATATGGAACATTGATAAATTAACAATATAATTAAATACTTTACGTATAATATGGAACATTGATAAATTAACAATGATGAGACAATATATGTAAAAACAACAACTATAGTTTTCAGGTAACACCAACAATCAAAATAACAAATTGAAAAACCTATAGTCCCCTCCGGTTTCACCGGTAGGGGACTAAAAATATTAAGCATCTTGTTAATTTTTCACAAGAGGTTTAGATAAATTGCATAGAAATGCAGCAACAACCAGAATCTGGCTTGCAATTGGCTTTAAGTTGATTGGTAGGATTCCCGATAAAAGTTTATATGATTTCAAACGTTGTATAGCACGTTCCACATGAATCCGTAGTTTCGCTATCTGTCTTGTTCGCCGAATCTCACTAGCATTTAACCGTTTCCCTTTTCCCCATCGACATTTATGTGTAAATGGTGGTATAACCAACTTTGCCCTTCGCTCCAATAGATAGTCTCTTATGATGAAACCCCGATCAGCCATCACCTCATCTCCAGCAGATATCAAATCCAAGAAATCACTATTGGCTGTAATGTACCTGTCAGACACATTGCCACCCCACAATTCAGACACATAAGAAAATGCACCGGTAGGAGTTATACCAACAAGGCATTTAAATGTATTATGTCCTTTGTAATTGCTGTATGTTTGGCTTTGAGCAGTAGGTGTCCTTGGCTTTTGAATGAATATTTCAGTACAGTCTATGACAACTCTTGTACGGGGGAATGTCTGTTTGAAAGACCTTGGCATATGTTTTCTGATGCTCTGTAGTGATGGCCATTTCAGTTGAGGTCTGAAAACCTGGAACATGTAGTTTATCCATGTACACACTATTTGTGAAACTCGTGTCTCTGATACACCAAACAAATCACCAATCAAAAAGGCTGGGACAGAAAGTCTTAGTCGAAAAAGGGTTAATAAAAACTCATGGAACTTTGTCAACTTCCTCTTTGGACCTGGTTTTCTGGCTTCAGAGGTTTCATAATTCATGTTTGCTATGCTGTTCTTTCCTGACCAGTACTTGAGTTTGGTGCATACTTTGTCAAGTATTGCTGTAAGCAGAAATAAAATTTTATCCAAAAACAAACATACAAAATACTGCAAAGTATTCAAATATTGTACTTATCAATATTAGCTGCAATTAAGAAAATACATATTAAGCAGTATTAGGTCAATTTTAAACTATATCTTCAAATTTCTTACCAAACAATCCAAACAGCATAGTTATGCTAGGCACTCCTAAATATCTTCTGACTGCCGAGTCGGACCGTGTAATTCTATTGACAAATTGCTCCCTGTGGATATGTTCTGTCTCTTTGGTCATAGTTTCCATATGATGTATATCCTCCATGGTCAGGTCCGTCTGCACAGCAAACTCAACAAAATCTTCACTGCACCTAGGTTCCACAGACCGTTTGCTGTATACATGGTCATGGTCTATAATAATAATAACTTATATTATAAGTTTAATTGATATACATGTATACTACAAAAAAGTTAAATTGCATAGAACATTTCAGAATTATGCTAATGAAACATACAATTCATTACACTTACTGCAGTTTCCATAAGAAATGTCCTCAGTCTTGGAGCAAGGTTCCTCAAAACAGTTTTCGTTTGATGTGTGTTCTATGACACACTCATGTGCTATAGGGAGAGGTATATGTACATCTGCATTCCCTTCACATGAAACTGTGATATCCTCCATCTGAAAAAAAAATATGCATTGAAATTTCACATATCATCAATTCAGATGATTCTCTTGGTACTAAACTTAATAATGCATTTATATTTTTTTAATATTAAATTTAATATTACATAGTATTACCCAAGATTACACATAATTGTATGTATATTTTGTTTATTTGATTTCTGATTTCAAACAATTTGTTTCATTGATACACACATAAAATATAGCCTCAAGCAATCCTGGCTTCTTAATTATCCTGTATATGTATACATTTAAAAAATTCATTTTTATATAAATATACATGTAATGCTTTTTTAATATATTTATTATATGTTTAAGCCTAACTTTTATGAGTTATGTATATATCATGCAGAGACAGTCATTTAATATTATGTCTCCGAGTCTGATCATGATACATGTGTATATATAGGCCTACATTCATAAATTTTCGATGTAGAAATAAAATCAATTATTTACAATACCGATAAACATTCTATTGGTGTACACTGGGTAGAATGAACATCTGACTTCTCCGCTGCTATAGCTGAATCCGACAAAGAATTACACCTGGTCTGTTGACGTTTCTCTATAGAGGTTGTAGTTCTGGACTGTTTGACGATTTTATTGCGCGGAAATAAAGTAGGAACGGGGTTTTCTTCTGTTGGACAACCATCTATGAAATGTCGTGAACATACCGAATGGTAGCGTTTTGGAGCATACTTCTCATCCCTGAAAACCTGCTGCAACCACCTCTTTCTTAGCTTTGCCTTACGTTTAGCTCCTGGGTATGGATAGAACTGTACTCCTCTCATCCACGGATATTTAATTAAATTGGCCTTTTTCCTGCCATCTGATGTGCAACCCGGCACCGAACACCAATAATGACTTGGTTCGTCTCCATTCTTCTCACTTTTTCTCTTTTGGGGCTTGTTTTCGTCTGCCACGTTACGCTCCATTTTGTTTCGATGTCAACAAAATATGCCCTACATTTCAGCATTATCACGTGACAATGGTGTATAAAATCAGAACGAAAACCGTTATATCCCGGTATCTCGGAAGTTCCGTATTCGTCTGAAAGCAGACTAAAATCTTAACGATCATTATTTTGGATTATTTTATCAGAAAGTTATGACAATTCGCTTTTGAAAATCGCTTTTATATCTCGTATTCATTATAATTTGTAAACGCTACAGTGTAGGCACGTGCCGTTTTAGTATTCACGTGGTACAAATAAACATATCTAAGATTGCTCCAGTTCGTACGACCCTTGATTTTCCGGCAGATTCTAATTACGTTAATTTTGTATGAGGAGAGAATATTTCTGTTTCTCAAACTGCTTACATCAACTTTATACCTTATTTCTTAATGATATATTGGGTAAATTTGAATGAAAAAGCACACGTTTTGTAGCCGTACTGCCGCTTTAATAAATCAATTTTTTATGTGGCTTTGGGCCCCTACCCCGACCCAAAACTGGTCGGGTCCCCTCTTCAAGATTCCTTTATCCGCCACTGAAAAAAGAACGTGTTGTTCTCTTGGATGTCGATATCTCAATTATATTTTAATTAAACATCCTGTCTAATATATCATGGGCGCCCATAATAGGACGATTATTTGTTTTTTAAAATAAAGTGGTTCTTACAAATGTTAAAAAAAACTTATAAACGGCTAAATAATTATTTAATTCATCTAACAAATGTTAGTTTAGTTCTTTGCTTACATAATCTAACTTTTATAATTAACACGAAAGTCGTGCGATCGTATACAAATACTCAGAAGAAATCTTTCATATTTACTGAACGTATAGGTGAATAAATTTCCTCTCATCACTATACGTATACCCCCATCCCCGAAATAAATAGAATGTTTTCCTTAGCAGTCGGTTATGTAAACTTGTACAAGTGAGGATGGAGCTTTACAGAAGCAGGTGATGAATTCCGAGAGAAAGGCACTGCCTATTTTATATACATGTACATTCCTAGGGACCTGGTTTTCTGAACCGATGTCACTGTTATTCAAAGACCTAGCTAGAAATTCTCTCTCTCTCTTTGAAATGCAGGCCCGTCGATCGTAAAAAAATGACAAAATAATTTCAATTGTTATTATTTACATTTGCAAATATTTTTCTTAGATGAACCTATACTATTGAAGAGAAAATATGTTCAATTCTGTACGAACTTATTACCGTTCACGGTAGCTCAGTCGGTAGAGCGCTCGCTTCGTGATCGGGAGGTCGTGAGTTCGAATCTCGGCCGCGACAGACCTAAGTCGATAAAAAATTGGTAGCAACTGTTCCTTCGCCATGCGCTCGGCACTTTGGAGTGAAAGTTGCGGGTCTTTCGGATGAGACCTTAAAAACCGAGGCCCCGTGTCACGGCAGGCGTTGGCACGATAAAGATCCCTCACTGCTCAATGGCCCTGAGTGCCGAGTAAAGGTCAAAATTTGAAGCCCTTCACCGGTATATGGTGACGTCTCTATATGTGTGAAAAATTCTCGAATGGGACGTAAAACAATATACAATCAATCAATCAATGTACGAACTTATTAGGGGGTCAGAGGTCATGGCGTGACCGTATCACACAGCGAGATGATATCTTGTCTACATATTTCTGTCCCGGTGACACTGGTTTCGGAACTTCTAAGCCGTTAAAGCGATGAAAAAGATAAAATTATTGAAACATACATTTTTTTTTCTCGTTCAACAAATGATCATTAGTTCTTTCTTCGGTGTAAAGAATGTTTTTAATTAGCCTAAAATGACGCTTACCTTTTTAACCCGAAATTCCTTTGAAGGTATGTAAACTGAAGACGATATCACAGCTTTTGACTTCATATAAAGAACTTATACAATAATAGTAAGATCATTCTCAGTAGCGATCATTGTTTTTTTTTCATTATGAATAGATATTTCCTGAACTGGACTGCTGAACAACAATGTAAGTATTCAAATATTGGAGCGAGGCGAACTCTCAAGACCAAACAGCTTCTAGGTCACTTCGCGTCACAACATAGCAATACGGCGGGCCGTTCGTGTAATAAATACAGTTCTTTTCAGAAAATTCGTCTCAAATGTAAATAAAAGTAATAAACAACAATGTTAAAAAGTTCTCTGGGAAATGAACTTGGTCGGTACGTGATCAAATCTGAGAAGCCCTTCGGGCATTGTTGTTTATTTTTTAAATAAGTATCTCATCTCCCAAGCCCAAATTCCCAAGTAAGCTTTTCTGTTCATAATTCTTCAGCTTTGTTTGCTTTCTTGGCGTATATAAGTGTTATCGTTGTTGTAGTTCTAAAGTTACTAAAATTTTTCTCATTTTTATCTTATCAAGAACCACTGGGCCATAACAACGAAAATTAACATAGAATATTTTTGGTAAAGTTTTGTTCAAATGAAGGGCCACATCCTCTTTTAACGGATACATGTAGTAAAAATTAGATGGGGTGCAGGCGCGGATCAAGGAATTTTTTTTCCACGGGGAGGGGGGGGGATCCCAATAAAAAATATTTCAAAAAATTTCTTGACGAGCCAAAAAAAAGAAACTCTTTTCACAAACGTGAAAAACCTATTTCGTGTGTGTGTGTGGGGGGGGGGGGGGGAGGGGTCGTTGACTTTTAAAGCTTCATACCTAAGACTTTTCATACCATTTTAACACAGATCCGCGTTATCGAGGAAGAGTCCGCGTTTTCAGGGGGGGGGGGGGTCCATGGTCACTTTTACTTGGTTTAGTATATACATTTAACTGCCCCCAACCTCCTCTAGATCCGCGCATGGGGTCATTTGAAAATAGTATTCTCAAGAACCCCTGGACTAGAATGAGAAAATTTCCAACATAGCATTCATTCATTTTATTTTTCAAATCTTGATTCCAGGGAGTAGGTTTGTGCGGGAAAGAGTGTTCATAATTTAACATAGGAATTTATATATCCCCCCGAACGAAGTGTGTTGGTTTGGGGTGGGGGTGTTTTGAGTCTTTTGGAATCACACTGTCCGTCTGCCTAGCTGTCCGTCTGTACGTGATAGTTTGCCCAGGATATAACTTTGTTATGAAGAAACTGGAAGGTCATACTTGATACAAAGATTACTAATGATCCGAGGGTGTGTCATGGTTTTGATCCAACATCATTCCGGCAAGTTCAAGGTCACTTAAAAAAATAGCAAAGTTTTGTCCGACCCATTTATTTGTAATAGAGAGTCAGCGGAAGCTCACTGGTTACAGGAATTGCTTATGACAAAAGGGTTTGCCACGACCTTCATCCAAGGTCATTCCTGTAAGTTCAAGATCACTGACAGAAAAGTGTAAGATTACTGTATGTGCCATAATTTTGGAAGCTCATACTTGGAAAACAGATTCCTTATGATCCACCGGTTTGAGATAACATAGTACTAGATTGGCAGAAGAAGTGGCAAAACTCGTGCCTGGATTATAAATTTATAAGGGGTGGGAGGAACACAGGAAACTTTTTCTCAGATTGCTTGAGATGGGTTTGTCCTGATCTTGAATAGAGGTTTTTCCGGCAAGTTCAAGGTCACTGGCAGATAAATATTTTTTTTTCCATACTATAACTTTGTAATATGAAATCACTGGAAGCTTTTACTTGATACAGAGATTGCTTATGATCCAAGGATGTGTTTTGACCTTGATCCAAGGTTTTTTCTGGTAAGTTCAAGGTCACTGACAGAAAAGTGCAATATTCTTTTTCAGGAATATCTTTGTCATTGAGTATCACTGGAAGCTCATAATTTGTTCAAAGGTTGTTTTTGACCTTAACATAGGTCATTTAGGCAAGTTCAAGGTCACTGATATAATACGTGTAAAATTCAAAAAGGTCTAGTCGCCCACGTGGCGCAGTGGGAAGAGTGTCTCCTCTAGAGTCGTGGATTAAGGAGTTGATCCTTACGTCGCAGGTTCAAATCCAACTGTGGGACGCAGAGACCGATCCTTCAGATGAGACTGTATAAACTGAAGTCCCGTCTGGCAGTAGGTGCTGGCACGAAAAAGATTCTTCACTGTTCAATGGCCATGAGTGCCGAGTATGGGTCAAAATTTGCAGATCTCCATCGGCAAATGGTGACGTCTCCATATGATGAAAAATTCTCTAGAGGGACGTTAAACAACATACAAACAAACAAAAAGGTCTTTAATTTTGTAATAGAAAAAATTGCATGCATTTGCATTTCACTGAAAAGATGATAAATATATCATCCAGAGTGTGTAATGGCCTTGACTTAAATTCGAGGTCACTTAGAATATGATGTTTTGGATGAATAGTCTGAAAGAATACGTGACTGCGATTTTTTTTTGTCGATGACATACAGATGGTGTTTGCTCGTAACCAGCTGCAGAATGTGTCCTTGCTTGACGCACGATTATTTGGACAAGTTCAAGTTCACTGACAGGGGAATTTTACATTCTTGTACTGTCTTTCTACTGTTGAAACATTGCAAGTTGATGCCCCTTACAGGATTGTTTATAACTTTAAAATGTTGCATGACCTTGACTCAAGGTCGCTATGTTCTGTCCGGAGCTCCGACGGAAGACCTATTCGTTGCATTGCAACGAGCTCGGCTCTAGTTCTTTTTTTTCTTCTTTTTCCTAGACGCCAACTTTGAGACCTCATATCTCGCTCATTTCTCAACGGATTTTGCTCAAATTTGCAGAAGTTATAGACGTTAAAAACCTCTATCAGAATGCTGTCAAACATTTCAAAAATCCGCTTCCGGTTTTGGGTTATCTCCATTTAAATGAAAATTTAGGGGGCTTCATTTCCAGACAAAGGCTCCGAGACTACAAAAGCTGGAGCAGAAATTCTGCCGAATTTAAATAATAGAAGGATTGAAGTTGTGCACATCGGTTTTTGTTTTTTCAATTCCTATGTTCAAAATGGCGCTATATAGGGGTCAAAAATTAGAACGCCTAAAAGAGGGAAAATTTAGACATATTTTCCTTTGTATCTTTAAAACTAAAAATATTTTGATAAGACATGTAG